AACATGGGCCGTAAAATGGTGACGCACGGATGCTGCCCCCATACCACTTCCGCGCTGCCACATGGCCAGCCACATTCTAATCATAACCGGACGCGCTACTTGTCTGCGCTCTCTCACTTGTGGTTGTTCTCCGTCCTGAGTACTTCGCCTGCGGGACCTTTGCATGGGCACTAGTGCCGCACCTTGAAGTAGCACGGCCGGATGAAGGAGACTGCAACCAGGGCCACCACTTTGCACCCTGTTCCCAAGCGCTTTTAGCGGAGAAAAGTTCTGAGTGAGACTACAGTCTGTCTTTATAAGTCAAATGCCTGCTTTGGAGTCCACAAAACTGTGTGGAAAGGGTAGGTGCTGAGTGGGTACAGGGCCAAAGGGCGTCTCATTTCAAATTATTCTCTGTCACCAGGTTTGATCCTTGCCGAAACTGATCTGCCGTTAGCTGCTGCGAGCTTTAGCAAAACATTGGAACAGCTTGGTTCAGCGGACACGCAAAACAGCGCTTTCTTAAACGCGTTTTCAGCGTTGCCTCAGGTATGACGCTTCACTCTTTCGCAAACACAAAGAAACTTACACGAGTAGCGCATTTGGCTCCAGCATAGCCTTCAGGACAGTTGCAAACTGCACAATTTTTCGGTCTTGGTTCACCAGCATTAGAGCATGTGGCGGCACCACATTGAGCTGAAAAGTTTGTGAATCTCAACGGACAATTTGCTGAAAGTTGCTCGACTGCTGTGCTCTACATAGCCCTTACATAATTTAAATGGATAAACCTGGCAGAATCGGACCTCAAAATCAATTCATAAATGTGGCGCTCTTCCCCGATTGGGTCTCTAGGGTTATTTCAGGTTGCGTTCATACTTTGCGGCAGCGTCCACCAGCAAACAATAGTGTCCACCAACGTTCCGAGCGTCCGGCAGCGTCAGCGACTAGGAAAGTATAGATATCGATTCAGCGTCTGCCAACGTCTGCCAGCGTGGGCGGCGTCTACCCGCGTCCACTAGTGTTTCGAAGGCTAGGGAAGTGTTGGGTGTAGGTATCGATCTAGCGTCTGCCAGCGTCTGTCTGCGTCCGCCAGTGGGTGTCTACAGGAGTTTGTGTCTACAAGCGACCTCCAGCGACCAGAAGTACGGTATTTAGTGTGGTGCGGTTGCATATAATACAATAACAACGCCTAATCCAGCGGTTTCCTCACTCCTGCTTCTCCATACTCTCTACTGCTCGCTGGCGGATTCTGGTAGACGCTAGACTCAGATCCACACTCCAGCAGCTACCTAGCCCCTTGGACGCTATGGTCGCTGCCGGACGCTCGGAACGCTGGTGGACGCTGGTGTAGGCTGTCGCAAAGTATGAACTCAGCTCTACTCTTTGATGGCAACATCCTTTCATATGGCAACAGCTGGCACTTCTGAAGGAAGCTGATCAACCTGCGCAGAGACAGACCTGACTCCGTGAACCAATCTGAGCACCCTTTGTTGTGAAAGGTTGAACGCACTCGCGTCAAAGGGGTGATATACGCTCCATATCCAGGGGATAGGTAAGGCGTGGCCTCACTGCTTCATTTGAACGTCACGTCGACTAAGTGTTTGATGAAATATTTTCGTTTTGAGACCATTCCGACCCTCCTGCGTAGGACAAAATGACGGTTGGGCATATGTCGCGGAAGGCGAACACGCATTTTCGATTGAAATACGCAGCCACGCCCACCCTCCCCCCCCCCCCTCTACAAAACGTGAAGCGGCAGGTGATACACAGCTCCCGCTGATCGTACGGGGTCAGAAACGGAGGAGCTACGAGGAAGTTGTTCCTTCTTCAACATTTCTCTCCTCCTTCTGATACGGTGAGAAAAGAAGTGTACGTGAGGAGTCGCATTGGCCGGGTTTCTCCGCCCACAGAAAAGGCCTCCGCCTCCAAACTGCAGCGTCCATTCTACCGCTGGCTTGTGAGCAGGCGCGTTTTGCATCGAAAACCAATATCTAAACCTACCGTGGCATCCATAGTGATCGTTCAGCATCATCATGTCAAAGAATGAAATCACTCGCGTTCCTTCAGTCTGAAGATATCGCCCAAGGCGAGGCTTCAGCGAGTAACCCTTCGTTGTGAACCTGAAAAACGTGAAATGACGAGCTCGTACCTGTCTGCAATGAAAATTCTGGTGCAGTTTGGCTTCTTGGGGGGGGGGAAGCACCGAATTGTACTGTGCTAAGCTTGTATAGGCCACCTTCTGATGACCTGTACATACTTGTGACCAAAGTGGCTCAATCGAACAGTTTTGCAGCTTCACAAGAGTTTACAGGTCTTAACCTGCTGAATTGAGACCCTTGTGAAGCTGACAGTCGGGATGAAACTGACAGACATATAAAGTGACAAAAGGAACCAGCGTATTGGCAAAATACCTCCCCCCCTCCTTCTCCTAAGCCCAACAGCACGAACTATTTTTGATGTCGTGGATTAACGCACAAATTAGCTGCATAATGCATGACGCTGCCGTATTCGTAAGGCGTGTAGTTGATGGTACTGTCGGGGCCGAGCTTAGCAAAGTTTCCTTGTTGGCTTGCCTGAAATTAAGTATTTAGAGGGTTCACACACCGCAGCCGTGGCGTGCTATCTAGTTTTCTGCCGGTCTTGAAGACGACAGATCACGGCTTACGTTTTTGCAGCTTCAATTAAAGAAATTTCAAGCTGATCGTGTAGGTGGAGTCAGGCCTATCATAAGGCTTCATTTTATGTACTGTGCTTCTTTTCACTGTGTCAATAAGAGAAACCCCAAACGAGACTGACAATAGGTCCAACCCCACCCCCAACCACAGCGCAATGTTTTCTCAACGCGTCGTTATGACGAATTCAATGTAGAAGTTTATCGTTTTGAGCAATTTCATTTCTCCTGTTACTCTCCGGTTCCTTGCACCGTGCTGTTTTAGGACGAATCTACTCAGCGAAAGTCATTGCTGTAGTTTTTCTTCGATTCCTCTGGATCCCTAGGAGGTACTACTGATGGAGCGGCTTGGGTGCCTACCAGCTGAGAAAGGCTACGTTCACTTCACAACATGGGAAACGACTATCAGCGATCAGCGAATGTCGGTGGATGGCATCTGCCAGACAGACTGCCAGCTACAGTTGGGTTGCCAACCGGACACTGGTGTGGGCTTTCCCGATCACGCAGCTAAAAATAAATTGCAACTCGCCACCTTCGACTCCCGGTGAGCCTTGGCATCGTAACCGTAGAGTATTCATAGGTTGGCACTGCCGTGACTCTTCTAAGGTCTTTCAGTAAAAAAGATACTGTAGTACTGAACTCACCGGCACGTTAGTCAGATCAACGATGATGAAGTCGTCTCTGTCGCCACGCATATGCATGTGCCACGATCCCAGAGCATGCATGAACTCGTGCGCAGCGATGCCAACCTGGAATGGAGTATTGCGGCAAAGAAGCTCTACAGTAGCCTGTAAGGGCTGTAGGTTAGGAGTCCACGAGAG